AAGGAGGGGGCTTTGTAGAAAACGAAGCGTTTGAGAGAGGCGGGGCATAGAGTACCTACAATAATGTACAGTATTTGAAAAATAATGTGTTTTTTGAACATTAAAGCATGTCAACATATTCTGTTACACCAAATACACAAAATAATGATCTTTAAAAAAGCATCATATGACCCCTTTAATATTATTAGATTACATTTACACAGTCTCTAAAAAGACATTAAAGAGTGTTTGTAAATGCACAAATGGTTTTAAATTACACAGTAAACTCAATCTGGCATCTGGGTCGCCCCATCACCGGAAGGAAAGACTAAAAATATTATTTAACACGTTTACTAGTTACAGTTACTAGTTTTTATTGCCTTTTTAGCAGCCTAGATGAGCACCGCCACACGAGACGGCCCAGGACACACATATAAAGCATGATTAAGCACATTATATGGAGCAAACTATACTAACACCGAACTTTTAAGTTTATCGTAGAGAACAGATAAGCACAGTATATTATCGTAAGTAAACATACGGCTTTTTTTGTAAGCCCATAGTTTTCCGTATCAATCAAAGTAAGCTGCAGTAATTACAGTGAGATCACAGCTACTCTGTATTTGTTGTCCCAACACAAGAGAGAGGAAAGCGTCACGTGATTGGTGTTGTAGTCCTGGATATTTTCATTGAGGACACGAGATGAGGAATTAACCGAAAGATGCAGCTGTTGATAATCAATCTTTTAGCTGTTATGTCACTGTGTATTTGTTTGGTAGCTCGCTTCTGCCAACCATATAGATTCCTCTTTATGTGAGTTGTCCTATAGTAGATGTGAAACAAACCTTTTTTTTTTATATCGGATGTGGTCGAGGGACACTGAAGTCCTTTTAATCCTCTTTAAAGCTAGTCGTCATGGTCAGAATAAATAGCCATCAACAATTGTGTGCTTTTCTTTGAGATGGTACACCACAGAGTTGGAAGTCTGGCATCTTAATGGTTTCTGGGGGCTGGTATTGGTGCTTCCTGGTGCTTTATTTTTGACTCTTGTAACGTGAGAATGATGCATAGCTATAGCGAACTGTTAAGATCCAGAGCAGAACAAAGGTGATCCAAAGCAACAACGTGCACAGGAGCTTCCACTCACTTAGAAAGGTTTAAAGAGGCAAAGCAGGTTATTCGACAGGCACAAGCAAAAATGAAACTGAAAACCCTTTTGTGATATAAACCAGGATATGATTATAGATTTTCGAGGAGATTATCAGGTGGAATATGTTATGTTTGTAATAGGAAATGAGTCCTAATGTTTGTTGGGCGTTTTGTAACTGTACACCCCTTAGTGTTTCATCCTGTGGCCTCAGCTTTGCTGTGACTCATAAAGTCAGATGATACATATGTTATGTACATCATACAGTCAGCTGGATGAAAAACATATATTTTTAGTGAGTGATCAAATGCTTTTTGTCAAGCAAGAACCAGATAGCAATGTTATGTTTGCTGACTAAGAAACCGTACTTAAATGAGACATACTTGGAGAGGAAGTGGTTTAAAAGTGCCTTCTGCCCATGTGTCCTGGAGGAGCTTTTCTGTGATTGGGGCAGTACAGAATGCTTCACTTCCATAGATATATAGATATATATATATCTAAGTTAAGCAAGTGCTAAATTATATCAAACGCTTTCAAAGCACAACGCAATTTTTTTTTAATTGAAAAAAAGGAGGATCATCTCATTAAACGCATTCTGTTACATACTTTAAAATAAAACACTTTCTAATTACAGGTCTATTGTGAGTATCAAGATAAAGAAGACTGTATGATAAATGAAAGGACCTCTTATTTGTAGTGTTTAACATTAGCTTTTAAGCTTTTAATTAGGTTTGGTCTTAACCAGTATGCACTTTCATGGATGTCATTTCATTTGAGGTTCATTTGACAAGGTTGTGTGTTTAGGCCTGTTTACACCAAGACAGACATTCAGTGAGATAAACATTTGACTTTGATTAAACAGCTGACACAAACATTTGCATGCTGTCTGTATGACAGATTTTTTTTTTACGGATAGATGTTCTTAAGGGATAGGAAAATGTCATTATTTACTCACTCTCATGTTGTTTCCAAACATGTAGGAATTTCTTTCTTTTGTTGAACACAAAAGAATATATTTTGAAAAATGTTTGTAACTTCCATGATATTTTTATTCATACTATGGAAGTCAATGACTATCGTTAGCTGTTTTAGTTACTAACATTTTTTGAAATATCATGTTTTGTGTTCAACAGAAGAAAGAAACTCATACAGGTTTGGAAATTGAGGGTGAATAAATGATGACAGAATTGTGCTTTTTGGGTAAACTATCCCTTTATCTCTTATCTATCGCACTGTGAATAAAGCTGGCCAACCAATAAGAATCAGGCTTTTTATTCACATGCCCAGAGCCACTGCTGTTACATAAAACTGATTTGGTGGCACTTACAGACAATACAGCATCTGTAGCACAGCAGGGGTTTTTCTTGCTTTTTCATAAACGCCACCTACTGTCATGGAGAGAAATTGCATTTTCATTCAGCACTCTGCCGTTTTTTACTCATTAGTTTAAATAGACAAATTGAATGCAAAAATGTAACTCTATTTTTGTTCCAGTCATGGAATTCATCTGGGTATAAACCATAGACTGTAAAAAAAAAAAAGATGGAGCTAAAATCAAACTTATCACAAAAACGAACAATTGAACATATATCAGCGTGATAACAACTACCTTTAATGACCAAAACCATTTTTCGGAAAATTGTATTGGAAGTATAATTAATTTTTTTTATTTTGACTCAAGTCCCATTCGTTTACATGGAGAGGGCGGGGTTTATGACCTGTACTGCAGCCAGCCACCAGGGGGCGATTAAAGAGCCCGCAGCTTCACTTCTCAGGATGTGTGAGGCACACCCGGTATAAACAGTTTTTTTTTATTAAAGCTACATTTAAACAAACAAAAAAAACTGAAATACAGTGCATCAATTTTTCTAGAAAGCTAGTCGATTTAAAAGGCAAGTTGGAATTAAAACTCAATCAAAACTAGAAACTTTAAACTTTGCTTTTGACATCCTCCTTTTAGATCGATTCATTTTCATTTATAAATCTGCCACAGACATTAAAATGAGGCAGGCTTTTGTTTCGTAAGCTTATTTGTTGGTGTACTCCGGTTTGTTTTGTCATGTCGATAGGATGAAGTTTTGCTATGATTGTGTGGAGTGGAGCGAGAACAGAGACACTGGTTATGATTCCTTGAATGTTCTGACTGACCGGCCTTTGTTTCATTGAGAGCAGAGAATGAGCCAGATGTGACGAGTTTGTGTGAGATAAAGCAGTGGAGTTAAAGCCTCTAAATGCACTATACAAGCACATCTTGAGGTGATTATGAGTGACAATTAATAAAGCTTGACAACCTTTATGAGCAACCGAAATAGGTTTAGGTACACATTTTAGTTACAGGCCTGTAGTTGTCAGTGTGTTATGATTCTGCCGAAGTGGGTTTGTTCTTTGTCGTTTTTTTCTTTAACTCCTTTTTAAAGAGAGACTAATTGTATGTCAATGTTTTTTTGTTTTCTCATTGTAAGTAATGACCTTACAGATTCAAAGATAAGCTAGCTTGAATATCTCTCTTCCATTCAGTACAGTTACAAATGTTTACAGTATCTAATTAACCAAATAGAAGATGTATTTTCAGACATGCTCTGTCTGGTCCTGAAAGGAGTCTGTTAGACGGGATTTCTTGTCTCTTTTTTTTTGTGCCTGTTGTTTTAAACTTGAAGATTTTGTATTCATTCTTTGTTCACTTTAAACAGTGCTCCCTCACCTCACATTGCATTTTCTTCTGAATAAAAAGGAAGTTTAATATGGTCTTTTAGGTTGCAGCTGTGACCCAGAGCAGGTTTGCCAGCATCCTTCGTTGAATTTTTTTTTTTCCCATAGCAGACATATTTTTCTTTTTCAAGTTTCAAGTTACATATAATAATAATAAAAGCCCAGAAGGAAAGGTTATAATAATTATAGACTGAATTCTAACTTCCTTCTATAGTCTCAGTCAGAGCAAGAACTAAAATTAGCAGTTCTTTTTTCCTCTTCCGTCTTTCTACGACAAGATATAGACTGAAAAGCAAGATACAGCAGGGCCAAATGTTTAATAGACTTCTGTTTTTGTTCTATTATAACTTAGCGTATGAAATACATTTTTCATGCATAGTGGTTATGACATAACTATGAAAGCTTACTTTGTCACAATTCTGCATTTTTTCTGGCACATCTGAGGGGAAAGAAATCGGAAATGCGAGATTTATATACTTGCAATTGTGAGGAAAAAGTAATAATTGTGAGATTTTGAAATTACTTTATTGGAGAAGTTGGAATTTATTTTTTTATTCCGTGGTGGAAATAAAAAACAGAATTTCGAGATATAAATTCAAAATTGTAAGACGTGAAATTAGAATTTATTTCTCCTCAGAATTGCAAGTCAGAATTGTGAGATATAAACTTGAGAGATATTAAATAAACATAAATATATAAAGTTACGAGTTTATGTCTTACAATTCAGACGTTTTTTCCTCAGAATCGCAAGAATTGTGAGTTAAAAACTTTTTTATATTTTTGTCCCACAGTGGTAAAAGCTTTCATACATAACCACTAATTATCCTTTACCTCTTTAAACTAAATGATACCTTTCTGTCTTGTTTCCCCTGAGTGCGTGAAGTAGTCTGCTGAAGATAATGCACACCAAAGTGCCATTAGACATGGAGGACGGGGAGCACTGTTTGTTACCCAGTAGGCCTACGTTTCTACTGGTTGTGTGTGCACAAACTTTATGTACATACTTTTATTTCCTTTTACTACTTCTGTTCTCTCCCATCTGTTTTTGGGTGCATATTTGTCAGTGTACAGTTTGCATCAGTGTTGTTTGTCTCTCAAACAGGTACACAAGCATTACAGAGATATGGCTCTTTAATAGTTAGATGGAATTATTTTTAAGACAATAAAAAGATATTGAGTCTATTGCACCTTCTTGTCTGTCGTCATCAGTTTGATCTTGTGATGTGTGATGTGATCCAAACAACTGTTGCTTTTACAGCAAATGTCATGCTGAGGCTGCAGGAAGTACCGTGACCCAGAAGCTTGTTGTGTCAGTTGTCTTTTGACAAACACTTTGGCGTGTGTCCTTACATTACCTGGGGGTGGAAAAATCTGAGCAAATATAGCAACGACCTAGAGAATGTTTCATTTCACCCACTGCATAGTCAAATGAAACAACTGGCATGCCCAAAACAAGTTAGTGCAGGGTAGCTCGTGGGGAATTACTATGTGAAATTTTGCTCACATGGTTAAGAATAAATATTTTTTATTATTATCAAGCACCTGTATATAATCTTTTAACTAAAGATTGAGGTCACATTAATTTAAAAAATGTGCACAGATAAACCATTTAAAATAAACACTGCAATGTTTCATAAAAACAAATGGTAATGCTCATTCTGATTTAGTAATGACTTTAAATCTTTTATAATGTGGACCAATCAGTTATGCAATCAGGTTCTGTGTGTCTTGTGACTACTATTTTACATGTATTGTAAAATGCATATATAATACATTGTTTCTTTTTATGGAGCTTTTTGACACGGACATAATTTTTTCAGCGCAGCAAACTGGCGTTAAACAGCTCTGTTCATGTGACTGTTTACATGTATAAAGTTCACAGAAACAAGACGGTGCATTTTCATTTATGGGTGACAACTATGTAAAATGCAACTCATTTGAAAACCTTCAAAACTCAAAAAGTAATTTGTCACAAATGTTGCCAGGTGGGATATTAACTCATTCTTAACATTCTAGTAGTTCATTTGGTAAATGTACTGTCATTTTTTTTTTTTATATATATATAAATAATCAGCGAAAATGTCCAATAGGCGGCTTTTAACTTTTGAAGGACAGCCGATAGTCAGTTTATGTTTTCCGCGCGGTCTTCCTCGTGATAGGTCAATATTATAATAATGCCGTAATAAAAGCAAAGTTTTGCCGGATTTTAATGACGTCACGTAAATTCACCAATCAAAATGTAGCACCGGTGTATAAAGGAAGAAAGTTTAAAATGTAGGACACTCACTCGTTTTCATTCGGAGATCAAGGCCAGCTGTTGGACAGTAATCATGTTCGGCTTTAAACTCTCTGTGCTGCTCTTCGCTGTATGTTCGCTGAGTAAATGCAGCGGTAGGTTTGTTAACTCCTGCAAATATCCACCTTCACAATGGTGCGACTCTCAAGACATTGCAGCCGAATGCGGGGTAAGTGGCTCGTGCATCAAAACAAAACTTACAACTTCGTCCTTAAATTTCATAGCATGAAACGATTAGATGTGTTTTATTAGCATTCTTTTTAATCAATACTCTCAAGACATTGCAGCCGAATGCGGGGTAAGTGGCTCGTGCACCAAAACAAAACTTACAACTTCGTCCTTAAATTTCATAGCATGAAACGATTAGATGTGTTTTATTAGCATTCTTTTTAATCAATTTTACTAGCAAGAAAAAGTAAAAGTGCATTTAAAGTTGCATTAGATAGGCTACACTGGATATGCAAATCGTCCTGACGTAATATATCTGGGAAATCCCTAAGTTTTTTGTTTTTTTTTGTTTAGCATTTTTGGCCATGAAGAAGGCAGACGCCCAATTAGCGTAAACGAAACTGAGCGCTTCCCTTTATTCTCTTCTTTCTTAGGTGCTGGAACAGTGCATGAAGTTTAACGTAACAAAGCCCAACGCTGTCCCGGTCAATGTGAGCCTGTACTATGAGTCTCTGTGTCCTGGATGCAGACAGTTTCTTGTAACGCAGCTCGTGCCAACCTTCATTATGTTAACTGACATTATGAATATTGAGCTGGTTCCATATGGAAATGCACAGGTATATTTACACTCCCAACTGTTGCTCAGACAATTTACCTCTGTACAGATATCATAGTACTTCTATACACATTATATGACTAGCATCTATCGCTATTTGCACTTAACAAGATGTAATCGAGATTATATTTACTTTTGTTCACACCTTGGGAACAGTTTTACCACAATTTGCACAGTGTAAATGGCAACCAATTTCTTTAACACATAGTAAAAGTAAAAATAATAATGAATGTTAAAATGTTCATAATAATAGGAGAAAGAAGATCAAGGGAAGTATACCTTCATTTGTCAGCACGGAGAGGATGAATGTCTAGGTAACATGATTGAGGTGAGGTTTTGCCCTTTTTTTTTCACCCCTAAAGCATTTTAAAGAAGATTAAAGGCATCTTGTTTAGAGCTGAAATAGAGGTATTATAATTGTAATCTTTTCTATCAGACCTGCCTGTTGAATACGTTAGGACCGAATGCTATTCCAGTCATTTTCTGCATGGAGTCAGGAGCAGATGTGCTGAAAGCTGCCCAGCCTGTAAGTGGTCATCTATTATTATTATTATTTATTGTAAACCCTGGTGCAATGCTATGCTAATCTGTACCTCTTATCTCAGTGTCTTGGAGTCTATTTTCCTGATACAACATGGGATTCAGTCATGAAGTGTGTGAAGGGAGACGAGGGCAACAAATTAATGCATCAAAATGCACAGAAAACAAATGCTCTGAAACCCCCTCATCAATATGTGCCTTGGATAACTATTAATGGAGTAAGGACAAGTATTTGTTTATTTACAAGGAAAATGTTTTTTGATCAGTGTTTCCTGGTAATTAAATGGCACAATGTTGTTCCTGCAGGAACACACAGACGATCTTCAGGATAAAGCTATGAGTTCTCTCTTCAATCTTGTGTGCAGCTTGTACAAGGTTTGTTTGTAAACCTATTTGTGTTTGATCATTTCCATCAATCAAGAGTCCATCACATGACGTCTTCATTCTTTGTGTTCATACAGGGTGCCAAACCACCTGCTTGTGGTCAAGGGTTGAAGAAGAAAGCCAACAGTTACTGCATGAACTAATCAATCACTGTGATAACAGCACTACTTATGTCAGGAACGGAGACAATGTATGAAACACAAGTGCATACATGTTGCAGAGTTTTTCTAATTTTAATCATTTTTTTTGTTGTTGTTTTTATGTTTGTATGTACATGAAAGCCCAATTTTGAACATGGGTTTCTGCTGCAAACTACAACTGCTGACAACCATATTTTTATAGTCACATTTTAAACCGTTTTGTATGCATAAACAACATTAAAAAGCAAGTTTCCGTTTCCTTTTAATTGCTTGTTGTGTTAATGATTTTCAAGAAAACGGTCACTGTTAAAGTGGACTTTACTCGAGAGGAATGCTTCCTCAGTGGTTTCACATTTTTGCTTATTAACCTGAGTCCTACATTATTTTGACCTACAAAGTGAAAATACTTTGGGTTTTAAATGTAACGGCTAAATTAATAATAAACAGTAAGCTCTCGAAAATCAAGAAGTGATGAGCAGTAGTCTGTTTTCAAACGGGACAAAATTATTGATGGGTTCAAACGGATGCGTCGGCGTTCTGCGCACGTTGACGCAATCTTGATGTTCTTGAGCGCAACGCCATTACGCATGTGACTCGTCACCGGCTCCTGCAGGCTGTTTTGGGCTCCGTTGGTTATATGAATGAAATCTAAAGATGAAAATGTGTTGGAGAAATAATTGCAGCTGAAGTTAGGCAAAAGGACAATTTGGGAATATCAGAAGTTTCTATATCTATCCGAGAGTATTAAGGAACATGCTTTCCTTTCCATTTTAAGTTAGCAACACTTTCCAGCATTTACAATATCTTTTGCGTATCTTATGTCATTTATCCTGGAGTAAACGGACAGAAGTTGCGAATGAAGTCGTCAAGCGCTGATCGATCGGAATCTTGAGAGAAGTTTAAGTGAAATCGGCCTAAACATGATATCTTGTCAGAGTAAGGATTTTCTCATAAGGATCGCCGGTTACTGGAAGCCGCTTTTCAGAGGCAGATTTCTGATCGTGACAAACACGGTGAGCTGTGGAGGGATGTTGGCAGCGGGAGATTTCCTCCAGCAGACGCGCGAGACGCGGAGGACACCCGGCCGAACACGTGACTGGACGCGTACAGGTGACAACTAAACAAACGAGCAAATAAAGTTTGCCTTGCTAAAATGAGCTAATCTTTGTAATATATGTGCTATTTGGTGATTACATAAAACTTTTATTTTTAAATGGTATCGTGTGAATATCCTGTCATAAGAAGTAACGCGAGATTTATTAACTCTCGCGGTGTTGCGCCCCCTATAGGTTGTATGTTTGCGGTCGGATGCTCCATGGGTCCTTTCATGCATTATTGGTACCTGTGGCTCGACAAATACTTTGTAGGCAATGGCATTAATAATGTCTGCAAGAAAGTGCTTACTGATCAGCTGGTCGCATCGCCAGCACTGGGGGCCTGGTACTTTCTAGGTGAGATCTTGCTGCTGATTTCCATTCAGAAGTTCATAGTCTCCACTTTTATTACAACTACACTACCTGTCAAAGTTTGCAATAATTAAGATTTTTGTTTTGAATATTTTTGAAAATCCATGCAGAAAATGGCTACATTTATTTGATTAAAAATTGCAGTTAAAACGGTCAAATATTATTGTGAATATTACAATTTAAAAACAATTTTCTCTTTGAATATATTTTTAAATGTTAGCATGTTAGAATGATTTTTATTAAGGATCAATGTGACACTGAAAACTAGAGTAATGGCTGCTGAAAATTCAGCTTTGCCATCACAGGAATAAATGGCATTTTAAAATACTTAAATTTAATACTTAAATTGAAAACAGTTGTTTTAAATTGCAACAATATAATGTTTTTACTGTATTTTTAATTAAATAAATACAGATTTGGTGAACAGAATTGGGTGAGATTTTCTTGAAAACATCAAAATCTTAATTATTTCTTTAGTGTCGATTTTACAGTGGTAAGGCATAATTATATTTAAGATTTATAATGTAAAAAAATGAAGTCTGGATATTACACCTAAGCTTGCTTGCTTATTTATTTGATTGATTTATTTATGAAGGTATGGGTATGATGGAGGGTCACACTTTGTCTGAGGCACAAGCAGAATTCAGAGACAAATTCTGGGAGTTTTACAAGGTATGTTGCAATGATAAGCATCTGTCCTTAGTTCAACCTTGGTTAACCAAAGTTCACTGCTGACAACATTTCATAACATACTTCTTTTTTTTTTTTTAGGCAGATTGGTGTGTTTGGCCAGCAGCTCAAATGATAAATTTCTACTTCCTGCCACCCAAGTTTCGTGTCCTTTATGTGAATATAATCAGCCTGGGATGGGACACTTATCTCTCCTACCTCAAACACAGTAAGACAGTTTGCACATGGCATAATAATACATTTGTGAGAATTACTTAAGAAAGATTATATAATTAATAATATAGTCTTGGTGGTAAAGGTTTATTTAACTCCTGGCAAGATAAAAAAATAATGTGACAATCTCTTCGCCGGGGTGTAAGTTTCCTTGTAACAGGTGATGAATGACGTTTGTGTTTTTCCAGGAGACCAAGTAGAGGCCACAACAGAAGCTGAGTGAGCTGCCTGAAGATGTCTGAGGAAAAGGGAATATTTAAAACCACAGCTCCAACCATGAAGAAATAATTAAATCTTATTTTCCAAGACTGTTAATGGACATCTTTCTGTTTTTAAATATCATATAATATAATTTTATCCAGTAATGCCATTGCACATTTTGCCACTGGAATTGAGTTTTTATTGTTTTTGAATAATTTAAATAGTATTGAAAAATTAAGTAATTGTAAACAAATGTATTTGTCCAAAATCTGTGTATTTTTGACATGTGAAGAGCAGTTTATAAAATCACACCGTTTACATTATATTCTTATAATGGTATAGAATACAGTTTTTATAGTTGCTTTACTGTAAGAAGTAATATTTTCAGTTTGGTCAAACATGTTTATAATAACAATAGTGTGCCAATATTATTTTCATATACATTAGAGAAATGCTGTAACAGATGCTGCATAGGCAGTAACGTTGATTAATTGATTACTATTATGTTCATAAATGGCATTTACATGTACATTTTTGCCTAATTAATTTAGTTTTTGTGATTATAAATTTTATGCGTTGGATAAAACTTTTGATCTCTGCTTTGTCATGTGAAACTGCTTGAATTTATGATTATTTAGTGTAAGAAAATAAAATTATTTTTGTGTGTGGTGAATATTACCATAAATTAGTCTGAGAGATAACTATTTTTTTATACATTAGAACTTGAACTTTGAGGTTGAATCCAAATATAAAAGAGCACTTTTGTTCATCTATCAAGGCATCCATCTTTCAGTGGTGTATGACAGTTGTTGACAGCACGTGAGCTGCTCTGCAGTCAGCAGCACAGACAAACCTGCTGAGTGAGAGTGACGGGACACTGCTCGCCTTCATAGGGGCTTCCAAACTGATAAAAACAGGTGTTCTGCCAGGATGTTCTCACAAACCATTTGCTTTTGAGCTATAAAGGTTACTTGCCACAAGCTAGGAAAACAATCTTTTTTGGGGGGGGGAAGAGACCAAAATGTGCAGCTCTCATGGATTGAAGATGTGCTTAAAAATTATATTTGTGAAATGACATTTTTTTTTAAATTAAAAACAATACATCTTACCAGATCTTCTCAGTTTTAGTGGTAAGTGTTATTATCTGAGCATTTTAACTGTTCATTATTAAACTAGTTGTTTTGAGTATTATTCATTGGCCTACTTATTGACTGGAGTTTAGTGTTTCTTATTGTCTTTGTCATTTAACTGTATAGTCCTGTAGAAAGTATTTTTCTAGGCACCTGAAAAAGTGGAGTTTCTAGTTTCTGAATAGATTGGTTACTTGCCACAAGCTAGGAAAACAATCTTTTTTGGGGGGGGGAAGAGACCAAAATGTGCAGCTCTCATGGATTGAAGATGTGCTTAAAAATTATATTTGTGAAATGACATTTTTTTTTTTATTAAAAACAATACATCTTACCAGATCTTCTCAGTTTTAGTGGTAAGTGTTATTATCTGAGCATTTTAACTGTTCATTATTAAACTAGTTGTTTTGAGTATTATTCATTGGCCTACTTATTGACTGGAGTTTAGTGTTTCTTATTGTCTTTGTCATTTAACTATAGTCCTGTAGAAAGTATTTTTCTAGGCACCTGAAAAAGTGGAGTTTCTAGTTTCTGAATAGATTTATTGTTTATCATGAACTGTGTATTTTCAGAGTTGCCTCCCATTTCAACAATATGAAGAGAAGCTCTTCTTTGAAGTCTTTCTGGACATCAGAGGTGGGTTATATCAGTTAATCAGTGCTCACAGTCATCCTGTCTGGTTGGATTCTCAATAGATTCACTGTGACTATGCAAATCACAAATTTTTCAATGAAGTGCACCTTATCATTAGGTATTATATATTATTAACTAAAAGGAAATACCTCTATTTGGCTATTTAACATTATATATTATTATTAATGTATGTTACTTTAATAGTATGACAATATTAGCCTTCACATGTCTTCTGTGCTGTTCTAGACAGAGATTATGTTTTGGTGCAGATTATTTACCTTCTCTTTTTAATTCAGAGGGAATGGGACACAGTGAACCAGCAGGGCCTGCCCGGATCCAAGTCCATGCCCAGTCACCGCACAGTTAAGAGGACATTTTCAGGGGTCCTCCAGCTTCCCCGTCTGTCCCGCCGGCTCTCGGCTCAGGGAGATTCAGAGAACACCCACCGCAAGGCCACCTTCTGCCTCAATGGCCTGGAGTCCGACACTTTTCGAAGTTCATGGTAAGCTGCTCTTTTGTCTTCTAACGGCACTTTGTATGACTTTTAATGTTAACCACTGATTTTAAAAAAGGTTTTTAATTTTGGGTAGTGACGACGTGCTTTGCACATTTTGCGATGAATGAGGAAAATGTTGTTTTTATCGTCTGTTGTGAACAGGTAGGCCTACTTGTCAAGGGTTAAACGAACTTTATACTAAAACAGATTTTAGTTGATAACCTAATACCACATGACCGTTCGTCATGTACCTGTTTTCAAAATAGTGGCTTCACGTCAGCAACTTTAGACGGAGCGGGAACACTTACTGTTGCTTATGTTGTTTCTAATATAAGATATACAATTTCTATTTCCACTAAATGTGCAGTGAGCTACATCATTACTGTAATAATAGTTCTTACATGCCTATTTATATACTTCAATTTTTCAATAATGGATGTAGTGTCCACACTCCAGAGACAGAAATTGTTTTGCATGGAGACAGAAGAGGGAGCCATTGTTCTCTAAAGACCAGGAAAATGCTTCTGACAAGAAAACGGACTAAAATTCATAAACAGAGTTAGTAAATGTGCAGTTACACCTTATGAACTTTTTTTAACCAAATTATAGCCTAACCTTTCAGGTAACTTATATCGTTAAGATATAAAAGTAAGTCATGAGGAGGACAGCCGGCACATTCTTTATTCACCAGATTAATTTCTGTTCATGATTTGTTATTTAATAATAATAATAAAAAAAAAGTTACAAACTGTAAGTTTTGTTTCTACTGCCATAAAACGTTAAAAATACTAAGGGTTAAAACTTGATGCATTTTCCCTACAGTGGCTCTCAAAAGTATTTAAAATGTCACACTTAAAATGTCTGAATGTCATTGCACAGTTAACACAGTGGTTGTTACGTTTTTTTTTTATGAAGTCTCTAATGCTCACCAAGGCTAGAAAACCGTAATATTATGAAATATTAAAATTTAAAATATAATTTAAAAAAATGTAGGCTAATTTATTCCTGTACAATTCAGCAATTTATTTAGTTTCACAATGTTTTTACTTTTTTCAGGATTCTTTGATGAATAGAAAGTTCAAAAGAACAAAACTGACTTGAAATAGAAAACTTTTGTAACATTATAAATGTCTTTACAGACACTTTTGATCAATTGATTCCATCCTCACTAGAAGTATTAATTTCTTTTTTAGAAAAAAAAATTTATTGACCACAAATATAGTGTAGGCTATATTGTTTTAAAAAATGGAAACCTGAACAAAATTAAAATTAAGAGTTTAAATTTTTATTGTAAAGTTTTAATAAAGGGTTTAATGTTTTGTTTTGTAATGCAACAGACATAATTAAGTATGTGTCTCTAAAGTATACGAAACCTTTTTTGGGGCCACTTCATGCGTATTGTTTTTGCATACACAACTCATCCGGCAGACAAAGGATCACAGGGAGCCTTTTCCCCTCTGATAATCAAAGCCCATGGGGCCCGTGATAGAGGGCCATCGTGACATGAGCCATGCTCTCTGTCTGACTTTATCTGACTTTGCTTTTTATAGTCAGAGCTTTCATGTGACTTCTCCTGGTAAATCTAGAGCATGTGAAAGGCATACGCATTTCTCAGAAGAAATCTGAACGCCGTGATCGGCTCTGCGTTGCGCCGCTGGTGCGTTGGCTTTTCTGTGCGCCAGGGGACTGGAACAGGAAGTCATTACAGACCAGTAAACACTGGACCTCGCTCAGTAATAGTCTTAATGTGGAGGTGGGGCCACTTAGTGAGCTCTATCATGGAGTCCACTCATTGTAAATCACACTGCCATATTTAGTCAGTTGGAGGGAAGTCTTCCAAGTTATGTAAACAAAGCGAGTTCACCAGAGGAGATATTCCATCGCTATGATGGCTGGCTCCATTAATGCGCCTGTGATCTCTGAAGCAAGGCTGGATTTCTCAGCTCTAGTGAAGGGTGAGAGATGTAGACTGTGGTTTTTGTGTTGAGAAAGCAGTGTGAGCGAGCGACCCATGCCACGACTAGACAGTTGTTTTGCCAGTTGTGAAGACACAGGAACTCTGCTGTCATGAGCGACGTGCTGTCAGAGAGTTCAGAAGAGGAGAGACCTCAGAGGCCCTCGCATTTTAAGCTGAAGGGGAACTCTCCCACCGGCTCCCCCAAAATGTCTCCGCGGGACTCTCCTCGGAGTTCGCCCCGCAACTCGCCTCTGCTCTTCCGCAGGCTGATGATGAACCGCAGCATTGCTTTGCAGAGACGCTTCACTTTGGCTCACACTCCCAGGTAGGATCCGAATCGCTCTGAATCGTTCATTTAGCCTCTTACCGGGAGGCTTGGCTTCAAAAACACACACGGGAGTCTTGTGGCACAGGCATCTACGTAACAACACATCACAAGGCGATTTTTGTGGCTGCTTGAGACATTCGCCCCCCTCGTCCAGATTCAGAATTTGTATTGATTCTAACACTTCTAGCTACAATAATAATCACTATAATCAAGGAGGTGGTTTGTCTGCTGTGTGGAAGCATAAAAAGGTGTCTTTGTTTGGGAGGATGTCTTGACCTGAGGTAATTATTGTCAGCCTATCTCAACAGTGATCAAATGAACTACTTTTTTGCATGTAGTTATACTGGTTCTTTCTGTTAAGCCCGGTAAAGTCCAACCTGGTAGTAAAATTAACTCAGGATAAATTAGCTCTTAACTTCCTGAGAGAACAGGCATTGTTTTGCATTATGTGTTTTTCTTTCTTTTTTTTTTAGATATAAGTGCATGTATACATTCACACAGACTGCACTGCTGGAGGCAAAAATAGTGATCATCATTTTATAGTGAAATAATTTTGTTAATGATATGCTATTTTGTTGAATTATATATTTTCAGTTATCTGCCAAAACATTTTTTACAGTGTAGTTTTTGGACATTGATAGACCTAAGTCAGCATTTCAAACAACACTTGTTA